AATGATTATTCTCAATAGCAGTATTAATAGAATTATTTATTTTAAGCTGTAAAGTTTCAGAAACTAATCGTAGATATCTCAGTCTCAATATCAAAAATTATCAGATTTTGAAAATTGAAGGAATGGTTTAATTTTATCCCATGATTGGATATAGAGTTTTGTTTTTGAGGAATCTCTCTGATGTTTGTGTCATGTTCTTTCATTCTAGTTAAAACTTTATGATTAGTTTGGTCTAAATATATTTGATCACAATAACTGCATTCAATACCATATACAGCATTAGCTTTATTCAAAGGAGAAGTGTAGTCTTTGACATTTCTGACACTTGTCCATTAATCTGCACTGGTACTTCTCTTAATAGTCTGTTCTAATTTGTAATTAATTGTGGGAATGAAAGGTAATGATAAACATTTATTCTCAGAAGTATTTTTCATCTTATGACGTAGTTTTGAAATGCAATTTAAGAAGCTTCATTCTTTTAAAGATAAATTTATCAATAACAGTATTAGGATAATTGTTGTTTCTTAAAATAACTATAACTATTTTTATGTTGAAGGGATGGAACTCCTTATCAGCCAACTTGACTGTGCAATCCAGTAGATTATAAATATTTCCAATTTTGGTTTTCATACTATGTGAGGAGTAGTAATGAAGCACTTCAAATGCAAAAGTAATTATTTATATAATATCAATTTGTCTACTCATAAATATTTCATTTATAGATTCATAAATATTGCATGTTTTAAGATGAGGAAATTAGGCTCATTAGAAAATTGTGAAAAATAGGCTTTTTTGCACTTTGGGTTTGTATCAGATAGTAGGTAAAATTACTAAGTATTGATACTCAATCAGAGCAGAACTTAATTATCTCTGTTTGACATAATAAACTTTTTGAATAAATTTATAGTTTTGGAAGAACTTGAGAAAAATGAAAAAATATGAACATTTTGGGGATATTTTATCATAACTGCTGAAGTCACAATCAAAAATTGGAGCCAACTCAGATCATTGGACCGAAACCAGAGGTCCTGTGGCCTATTTGACTGTAATCCAGTTTCCAGAACTGTTGACAATTTTTGGAAAGCAAAACTAAATTGTTAGTTAAATTAATTGTTTTCTCACACCTAGTCAGTGAAACTACAAAATTGAATTTAATAAGTAAGATACTTAAATTATACTATTAATATGATTATACAAGCTAGAATTTTCGTTCATACTGTTTGTCACAAAGAAGTATCTAAAAAGGAATTGCAAAAAACAATGAAGCAGTACAAGCACAAAGAACTTAAATAGATTCAGTTTTGTATGTTGAAAATTTGCTCTCTAGAGTTAAGAAGTTCCTAAATAAAAACAGTGTATGTATCACACCAATGGTTGCAAATGAAAGCATAAGAAATCTATGTGAACCACGAAAATCACTTTTGTAAATTGGATGAAAATAAAAACAAAATACGCATTATGAAAGGAATTACTCATATGAAATGGAAAATTTCAAAACAGACATAATAGTTTCTTAGGATCCCCTAATACAAGCTGGATACAACGATGCCAGAGGAAAATGGAATGAAACATTTTAAACATTTCGCTCTTAGAAAAAATACCATCTACAGAAATTAGGAAAAAGACCAAAATCAAGGACGCAGTACAGCAAGCCAAAGTGAGTAAATGACCTTGGGGAGGACACATCATAAGAGGATCAAAGGCGATGGGCATACACTACAACAACCTGGGACCCTTGGCATGACTGGAGGAACCAAGGGAGACAAGAGAAGATGTACAGACAAGCTAAGCAAGGTAGCTGACCCAAGAGAGGATAACATGGAGACAACTGGGATACAAACAGCAAAAAGATGTTACTCCCCAGCACAACTAGTGTTTCTTATTGCTACTATTTTGCTTTGCTCATATATTGGGGCATCTAGGGTTTCTTATAACTGCTACTTTGTTTTGCGCATATATATTCTTAAAGCTACTAATGAACAGAATGAAACAAACAAGTTTAATGTTTTGTTTTGTTCCCCAGTGCAACTAGTGTATCTTGTAGCTAATATTTTGTTTTGCTCATATGTTTTCTTAAAGCTACCATACATCTCGCCATCAATAAAGACATTTATTTATTTATTTATTTATTTATTATATTTTCTTACAGCTATTATTTTGTATGTTCATAAATTTGTTGTCTTATAGTTTGTTTTACACACGTTTTTTTATATCCATTTGTTTCGCTTTATATTGTTTTGATGACTTACTTTCGTGATTTTATAAATATCAACCTATTGTAATTATTATTATTATTAATAATATTATAAGGTGAAGCACTGGTGCGACCAATTTTAAAGATTCCTTTGACAACAAAAGTTCTGAGCAATACAAAACTCAAGTTGCAATTAGATTAACAAATTAAGGCATGAATGACAATGAGGATTCAAGCCCACAAAATGTTGCACAACCTATTATAAAAGAAGAAATTATAACACAAAAGTAGTTAAGCAGAAAGATAATGAAATCACATTACTAGTGTTGGTATTACCATGTTAATGGGGAAATTTCCTCATCTTTGAAGAACCTGTTATCTTTTACATGTAAAGCTGATATATTATTACATAAGGCAATAACCATTTGACACAAAGTGTTGAAGTGTTGAAGTGTTTTCATGAAAGCAATGGGTGTTAGAAGCATATAATCAAGGTGCAAAATTTGCTGAGATAATATTAAGAGTAATTCACCAATAAGAATGTTTGCTGAAGATTGACAGAGATGGTTCTGTAGGCGAGTGTGCAGAGATCTTCCCTTGACTGCACTTTAGTGTTGTACTACACTATAATAAAATTTTCTTAGTAAAAAGGGGCCATTGAAATTAAGATTGTGTGGTGATGATAATCAAACAGATAAATGACAGCAAGACCTCCTCAGATATACCTCTGAAGCAGCCCGGGTGATTCCCCAAGTTGGGCTTCAGAAGGTCTTGAGATGATAGTTCTATTCATTCATTGAACTGACAATGTCTTTGGAAGCACTCTGCCAATGGGAGGCCAAATACAAGGAATGTAGAGTTGACCAGATGGAAAGGAAATGTTCAATCTACACGAGTCCATTGAGATATTAAAATGTTTTGTTGTGTGTAAAGAATTGTCCTTGGAAATTTCTTCTAAGTTACATATACGATTCTGATCAATCCATGACATCATTTCATCTCAAATGTTTTACACCGAGAACTCAAAAGCAAAGGATTTTTATCCTTTGCACTATTGCTAAATGTTACATATGATTGTTATTGAAAATATAAATAATATATACACTGCATACCTTTTGAAAACTTTTCTGTGTTTCCATTGAAGTTTAATACTAAAATAATATTGAAAATTCATTAGTGATATTAATAAAGTGATAAGAATTTAAAAACTTAATTTTAAGTACTTGGTAATAGACCCCTATTGGTTAACAAACACAGTTAGTGCAAAGAAAAAATCCTTTGCTTTTGAGTTCTCGGTGTAAACAATTTGAGATGAAATGATTGTCATGGATTGACAGAATCGTATATGTAACTTAGAAGAAAATTTCAGGAACAGTTCTTTACACACAAACATTTCTAATATCTCAATGGACTCTGTAGATTGAACATTTCCTTTCCATGCTGGTCAACTCTACGTTCCTTGTATTTGGCTCCCATTTGGCAGATCGCTTCCAAAGACATGTCAGTGTCAATGAATGATAGAACTATCTCAAACCTCTCGAAGCCAACTTGGGGAATCACCCGGGCTGCTTCAGAGGTATATCTGAGGAGGTCTGCTGTCATTTATCTGTTTGATTATCATCACACACAATCTTAATTTCAATGCCCCTTTTCTACTAAGAAAATTTTTATATAGTGTATAAAGACCACTAAAAGCGCAGTCAAGGAAAGATCTCTGCACACTCGCCTACAGAACCATCTCTGTCCGGTCTTCAGCAAACATTCTTATTGCGTGAATTACTCTTATATTACTCAGCCAAAATTTTTTGCAAAACCTTTGGATTTATAAAAAATCCCCCCTTTTATTTAACACCCTTGCTTTCATAAAACACTTCAACACTTCAACACTTTGTGTTCAAATTGTTATTGCTTATGTAATAATATATCAGCTTTACCGATGTAAAAGAAAACAGGTTCTTCAAAAGAATGAGGAAATTTCCCCATTAACATGGTAATACCCAACACTGTAATGTGATTCATTATCTTTTCGCTTAACTACTTTTGTGTTATAATTTGCTTTCTTTTATAATAGGTTGTGCAACATTGTGGGCTTGAATCCTCATTGTATTCATGCTTAATTTGTTAATCTAATTGCAACTTGAGTTTTGTATTGCTCAGAACTTTTGTTGTCAAAAGAACTCAATTAACATCTTGGTCGCACCAGTGCTTCACCTTATATTTATTAATATATAATTTAATATACAATCACGGCTACAATAGGTTTGATATTTATAATCACGAAAGTAAGTCCTCAAAAACAATATAAAGAACAATGATATAAAAAACTTGTGTAAACAAACTATAAGACAACAATTTTTATTTTATAACATACAAAATATAGCTGTAAGAAATAAATAAATGAAATAAATAAATAAATAATAAATAAAATAAATAAATAAATAAATAAATAAATAAATAATAAAAAATAAATTATAATAAATAACTGTCTTTATTGATGGCGAGAATGTATTGGTAGCTTTAAGAAAACATAATGAGCAAAACCAAAATATTAGCTACAGATACACTAGTTGCACTTGGGGAACAAAAACAAAACATTAAACTATTTTGTTTGTTTCATTCTGTTCATTAGTAGCTTTAAGAATTATATATGCGCAAACAAAGTAGCAGTTAAAGAAACCCTAGATGCCCAATATATGAGCAAAGCAAAATAGTAGGCAATAAGAAAACATAGTTGTGCTGGGGAGTAACATCCTTTTTGCTGTTTTGTATCCAGTTGTCTCCATGTTATCCCTCTTGGTCAGCTTACCTTGCTTTGCTTGTCTGTACATCTTCCTCTGTCTCTTGGTTCCTCCAGTCATGCAAGTGTCCAGGTTGTTTGTAGTGTATGCCCATCCGCTTTGATCCTCTTATGATGTTGTCCTCCCCAAGGTCATTTATCATTTGGCTTGCTGTTACTGCCGTCTGAATTTTGTCTTTTCTAATTTCTTAATGGGTATTTTTTCTAAGACGAAAATGTTTTTAAAAAAAAAAGTTTCATTCATTTTCCTCTGCATCGTTATATCAGCTTGTATTGGGATCCTAAGTAAACTATTTGTCTGTTTTGAAATTTTCCCATTTCATTGAGTAATTCCCTTTCATAATGCGTATTTTGTTTTTTATTTTCATCAATTTACAAAGTGATTTTGCGTGGTTCACATAGATTTTCTTATGCTTTATTTGCAACCATTGGTGTGATACATACACTGTTTTATTTAGGAACTTCTTAACCTTAAGAGAGCAAATTTTCAACATACAAACTGAATCATTTCAAGTTCTTTGTGTCTGACTGCTTGATTGTTTTTTGCAATTCCTTTTAGATACTTCTTTGTGACAAACAGTATGAACGAAAATTCTAGCTTGATATAATCTGATTTAATAGTATAATTTTAAAGTATCTTACTTATTAAATTCATTTTGTAGTTTCCACTACTACGGTGTGAGAAACAATTAATTAACTAACAATTTATTTTGCTTTCCAAAATTGTCAACAGTTTTGGAACTGGATTACAGTCAAAATAGCCAAGGACCTTCTGGTTCGGTCCAATGATCTCAGTTGGCTTCAATTTTTGATTGGTACTTCAGCAGTTATGATAAATATCCCCAAATGTTCAATTTTTTATTTTTCCAGTTCTTCCAAACTATAAATTCATTCAAAAAGGTTAATTATGTCAATACAGAATAATTAAGTGTCTCTCTGACTTGAGTATCAATACTTAGTAATTTTACCTACTATCTGGATACGAAATAGGAGTGCAAAAAAGCCTTATTTTTTCACATTTTCTAATGAGCCTAATTGTCTCGTCTTAAAACATGCAATATCTATGAATATAAATGAAATATTTATGAATAGACAAATTTATATTTAATAATTTTTTCCATTAAGTGCCTTCTATTACTACTCTCCATAGTATGAAACCAAAATTGGAAATATTTATAATCCTACTGGGATTGCGCAGTCAAGTGGCTGAATAAGGATTCCATCCCTTCAACATAAAAATAGTTATAGTTATTTTAAGAAAACAACAATTATCCTAATACGTTTATTGATAATTTATCTTTAAAAGAATGAGCTTCTTAAATTGCATTTCAAAAACTACGTCATAAGATGAAAAATACTTCTGAGAATAAATGTTTATCATACCTTTTCATTCCAACATTAATTACAAATTAGACACAGACTATTAAAGAGAATACCAGTGCAGATTAATGGACAAGTGTTCCAAGAATGTCAAGACTACACTTCTCCTTTGAATAAAGCTAATGCTGTATTGGTATTGATATGCAGTTTATTGTGATCAAATTATATTTAGGCCAAACTAATCAATAAATTTTAACAGAGAAGAACAGACACAGAAAGAATATGGACAGCAAATCTAGAGGATATCCTCAAAACAAAACTCTTTCATCCAACTCATGGGATAAAATTAAACCATTCCTTCAATTTCTTCAAATCTGATAATTTTTGCTATTGAGACTGAGATATCTACGATTAGTTCTTGCACTTACAGGCTTAAAATAAATAATTCTATTAGACACTGCTATTTGAGAATAATCATTGTACAAAAAAATGCTATGATGCTTTGCTTTATAGATTTCGAACATTGAAAAATAGTTTTCCTCCATTTGTGCTCAAGAACTTCCTCTCCCCCTTTACTTCTCTAACGTCCCTTGATTCTCAGAACTCCTTATTTGAATCGCTCTCACTATCATCTGAACACTTGCACATTTTGTCTGCGCTGAGGATTAGCTGTAGAAGTCAATGTTAAAAACATTTTTTTGTGTTACGCTTATGTGGCTTGGTAAGTCTTTCTCTATCATAAATTTCTCATTTAATATTGTATTGTAAATAATTTTGAAGTTCATATTATAAAATTTAAAAAAATTCAATTTTACAGCATGATGATTGGCAAAAATCCTCCGAAATGTTGCATGAATAGAATAATTAAGGTACAAGAAATTAATTGTCATAAAATAAGGACCTACCCTTCACAAAATCATCTAATTATTATAACAAAAACTGGAAATAAGAAACTGAAATCCATAAATAACAGTACAAAACAGTTTTTTTTAAATTCATTCAAAATGTAGCAAAAAAATTCAGTGTATATTTGAATAGTGTAAATTATTTTAAAATAACACCTACTTTACAAGAAAATGCTAACACAAATTAAAGTGAAATAATACCTGTAAAGAAATAATAAAATAAACTTCAAAGTAATGTAAAAAAGAGAAAAATTGCTTTAGAAATAACTATTCAATTTTTATTTTAGTCATATTGCAAGGTCTTGACTCTCAGTGAAGCCAGATTACAACTCTACTCTTTTGGTAATAATAAAATATTTATGAACAGTCAAAAATATATTAAAATAGGTAATGACGTGTCACATGATATTAATAAATAAATACTGTCTATCCTCTTTTCTCTCTGGAACAATCAAAGTACAACATATTCAAACAAAGTTTTATTTGCATATATGTGAAACTTGTTTCACCAAATGTTTAATACATCATTAAGGGTGGACAAAATTTATAAAAATTCATTTAATTCAAATCACTCAAAAAAAAAAACAAATTTTGATATTATATTGAGTAGGTGAAAGTAATAAAATTAAAATTGTACAGTAAATATATAGAATTACAGAAGTGTAAGTAAGAATTTATGCTCTAAAAGTTCAAAATATATAAATAAAATGGGAGATAAAGAACTTGCAAAAACAAGTATAGAGATTTACGTATTATGATCAAATCATTAAGAAAAACTGTGAAGATAAAACAAAAAATACATACAAAATGTTTGTTAATTTCTCTCCCTTCATTTATATTATTTTATGTACGACATATATTTTTGTTATACTTGTTTAATTCCTTATTTTGTTCTCATTACTGTGCTTTTTATTTTTAATTTTCTTACCAAACTAGTAATCACATAATTTATTTTAATAACATAATTTTGTTTCATTTTCATGTGAAAGCTTTATAACTTTTGGAACCACTTATATGACCACAGATATATTTTTTACTTTACCAGAAGAAAAAAAAGGATACCTGAGTGTTAAATTAATAATGTTTAGTTTAAAACTCTTATTTTGGAGGAATTGGAAATTTATAAAAAAAATGGGCAAAAATTAAAGGATTTCCTTTTTGGACTGATTTTTCTGTCTCAGGAGAACTAAGATTATTGATATCAGAGATTTCTAATTGAGATATTAAAAGAATTTCAGACCTCTGCCAATTTTTTAAGAAGGGCTTCTTGAAATTACTGTACTACCTTGAGAGACATTTGTAGAATTT